GCTAACAACTGTTCATAACTCCAGTTCCAGGGGATCTGATGCCCTCTTCTGCCCTCTTCAGGCATTACACAACAAGGGTGCACTTACCTACATGCAGGCAATACACGTATACATATAAAATAAAAATAATAAAATAAAATATATTTTAAAAAAAGGAAAACAAAAACAAACAAACAAAAAACAACTGAAAAATTCAAACATGTCAAGCATAAGGAGAAGCAAAATAAACCCCATGAACTCAGCATTTGGGATGAACAACCCCTGGCTTATCTGCTTTCTTGTATATTGCCACCCACTCCTTGATCCCAAATCATCTGGAAGCCAAACTCAGGTGTTTCAGTGTCTATCTCTCAAGGATCAGGGTTCTGAAAAAGTAACCACAAGGCTGGGCCCTTGCCTAGCCTGCATGAGGCCAGAGGCTCCACTCCCAGCATGCAAGAACTTGGCATCATCCAGTTTTGGTTTCCGGAGTTTCTAGGATGACAGGTGTGTGCCTCTAGGACCAGCTGGTACTTTGTCTGAAAGGAGAAATTTACCTTTACCAAGTATTTGGTTATTTTGAGGTAGAGATCACATAGGAAAGGTAGGGTAAGTGCTTGATTTTCTATTTTCTTCTGGTCCTGGTGCTGGAACTCAGGGCTTCACACATGCTTCCTGATGTATCACCGTTGTCTTTTAATACTTGATAACTCCCTCCCAACTCATACTCAGCTCACTTTCTCATTTTTATTGAGTCCAGGACCCTAGGCTGTGGAACAGTGCCACCCACAATTAAGATGGTTCTTCCCATCTCAATTAACACAATCTAGAAACTTCCTCAGACATGCCCAAAGGCCAACTAATCTAGATCATTCCTCACAGGTGTGTCTAGAGGCTTGTCTCTTTGGTGACTCTGTATCCTCTCAGGTTGAACAGTGGCCTGATACCATCTGGGTTTATGTAAGTACCATCTACAATGTTTGCACAATGATAAAATTGCCTAATAATGATAGCATTTCTCAGAATGGATCCATCATGAAGCGGCATAGCTGTATACATTGGTCAGCAGCTTCTTTCCCATACTGGATTTGACCCCACTCATTCCCTCTTTCTAGTCCGAGGGAAGAACTAGAAAAGCCACTTCTCACTCTCCCCTCTCCCAGTGCATCTTTCTACATGTCTTCTTCACCTCCCCATAAGCCTCTCTGTCCAGGTCCATGCTCTTTCAGATTTCAGATCACTGGCTCTCAGAGCACCTTGCCTTTTGTCTCTATCCAGTTTGTGGTAACACGTAAGTTTGTGGTTATGAATGAACCATAAGCTCCTAAGAAGGGAAGGATGTTGTGGGTGTCACTCACTGTGGTGTCAAGCCACTTAGCAATACCCGATACACAGAAAGCTGCTGAATGAATGAACCTGGACTTGGTCAAAGTCATACATCGAGTATAAGAATTAGGGTGAGGCCCTGGTGTCCCAGTGCCCATGAGGGCTTCCTCCGCCACAGCAGTGTAGTGTTCCAGAAGCTTTCTTGCTCTTTTTTGATGTCCTGACTTCTGACCATCTAGAGAGTAGGGCATAGTGTTTACATAACTCTCTTCAAACTCCAAACACTCCTTCTTCACCTCCACAGCCACCTTCTTACCAAAAGAAGCCAGAGAAGGTTTTGTGAGTGCCTGGATTCTAGCAGTTGAGTTGGTCTGAGAAGAAAAACAGAGAAAAAGAAATCTCTCCAAATGTTGATTTGTTTAAAGTTCTCCACAAACTTTACAAGGGAACTAACAGAGACAAGCTCGTAATGAAGTAATCAGCCAACTCTGCTAATATTCCAGTAACGAGAAATGACTCCTGGTTTCTTGGGGCAGATATGAATGGGGCCATTAAAATACGGCCAAGGAGAAGAGGGTTTACTTTTTCTGTCTCCTTCGTGTCTGTGTTCTGAAAGCGCAGCAGGAATTTAAACAAATACCAGGGAGGAATGGTGAATCTGATTATATTTAAAGAAAAAAAACCTTTCAAATCTTTTTTTTTAATACATTTATGTATTTGTGTGTGTGTGAGTGCACAGATGGGTGTGTCTGCGTGGGAGCTCACGTGTTACAGAGGGTATGTGGAGGTCAGAGGACAATCTGTGGGAGTCTGTTCTTGGTCCATCATATGGGTCCGGATGATTGAATTTAGGTCATTAGGCTTGGCAGCAAGTGCCCTTACCCTTTGAGCCATCTTGCTGGCCCTTTCTCCTTCTTTTAATGTATTGGCTTCTGTGTGTTTCAGTTTTTCTTTTTCTTTTTTTTTAAAGACAAAGTCTCACTCTGTTGCCCTGGCTGGCCTGGAATCTGTTATGTAGACCAGGCTGTCCTCTAACTCACAGAGATCCATTTGCCTCTGCTTCATGAGTGCTGGGATTAAACATGTGCCACCACACCCAGCAAGTTTCACTTTTTGAATATGCTGCCTCCCATTTTTTTCCATTTCCAATCTGGAAAGCCTGCTTGAGAAAAAAAAAAATTAGCATCAAATTATTCTAATCTTTTTCTGCACATTTTTTTCTCTAGGTCAAAAAGAAATTGTTGCTCCCCATGAATGTGAAAGGAAGAGAAGGGAGAAGGGTAATAAGGAATGGAGAATGCTTCCCTTTTGGTTAAAAAATAAGTTCAAGGTCGTGAGATGACTCAGCAGGTAAAGGTGCTTGCTGCCAACCCAGAGGACCCACACGGTGGGTTGTCCTCCCATCCCTTGGTAGGTGCACTCCTCCACAAAAACAAACAAACAAATGTAATAAAAATTTAAAAAAGTAAAAATCAGGTACTGGACACCCAGCCTGGATGGGAGAGCTTACTTAAGGCCTTGGGTTCTGTCCCCGGAACCACAAATAAATAAATACAGACCTACAGAAATAAACACACAGATAAGTTAGGGGAGGGCCTGAAGTAAAAGGAGCCACCCACTAAAAGGAATTCCATGGGCAAAATGGGCGCGAAGGACCCATTCCTAGGCCGGGTGGCATTGGGTCTGGAGTCTGGTTTCCTGGCATTCCAGGCAGGAAGAGGGGTTGAAGGAGGGGGGGGGAGCTCCCAACACCAGCAACAGGGGGCATTTATTTAACTGAACTAACTACAAAGATTTGTGGAACTCAAAGTAGGAGCGGCTTGGACCCCCCAACAAATTTTGCAATTTCATTAGGCTTCAGTCCTTCCCACCTTTAAAAAGGGAAGGAAAGAAACCCAATCGCAAAGGTGTGAAGGTTAAATAATACAAAGGAAATAGAACACACCCAGCTCCTACACAAACATCAGGAAGAAATGTAAAGTCCCTCAGGCAGCATTCTGAGCCCCAAACAGAGCCTTGGAGAGGATGGTCAGCCGAGGGTTGAACCACGTCTGCAAGATTCTGCCTGCTGGCTTCCTTTGGAGCAGCTTAGTTCTGGGCTTGCAGGCCCAAGGCCGCTCACATCTGCTTAAACAAATATGTTCACACAGCCTATCCACACTTCGGCCTGCAACTTAAGTGAGGCTTTTTCTTCCTTCTCCGTCTGCTGTTGTTGAGTTCTGATTACTTCCATCTGGCTGCAGCAGCTCCAGTGGAGTCTCAAAAAAAAAAAAATAAAATAAATAAATAAAAACAAAACAAAACAAAAAACCCTCGCTACAAAACACATGCACCAAGAGTAGGAAAAGCTTGCTTCGCTTCTCGCCCACATGCGCTCAGATGGCGGCGTGTGCGAGCCGTGGCAGGCCGCTTGGACCCGGGGCCTTGGCACTTGGGCTAGCTGCCTGAGCGAAGAGGACCCGCGTGGACCTAGTCCTGCCTCCCATCCCACGAGTCCCAGCCTTCCGCCTTGGCCCCGGGAGGAGCAGGGAGTTTTTGGAACAACGACTAGGACATCTCCCGACGGAGGGCAGCGGGGGTTGGGAGAGAAGAGGGGCTTAGAGATTGAAAACAGAGCAGTCCTTGCACTGGAGCTGCAGAGTTCATCTGACTTGAGTTAGCAACTCCCCCATCCCGGCGCCTCAGAAAGTGTTGGAGGCTGGAGACTGGTGTGTTCTCTGGTCCCCTTCCTGGAACTTTCCAGTGGGAGTGCTTTCTTTCCTAATAGCTGAAGTAGGAGAGAATCTGCGATCGCCCCAGCGCCTCTTCCTTCCAGAGTGGTGTCTGGGTGTCCGCCCCCACTCCCGCCCCCCCCCCCCATCATTCTCTGTTCCCCTGATGAAACTTTCCAGTAAGGGTGCTTTCTTTTTCCGGCTGAGGTGAAGGAGAGTGCCATTGCCCCAGCCCCTCTCTTCAGGGAGGCGTCAGGGTCCCCCACTCCCAATCTAGGGGGCGAGGAATACGCGGCGGGGGCGGGCAGGGTAGGGACGCGCCGCCAGGAGTGTGCCCAAGCCGAGCGCGCGGGGGCGCTACGCAGCATAGGAGACGCTGATGGATGGCCGAAGTGCCGGCGCTCGCCAGGCAAGGCAGCACGGCTCCGCGGACTTTTTTTCAAACTCCTCTCATCAATGAGACTTCGAGAAGGAGCGGGAGGCGGCAGCGGCGACAGAGGGCGCGGAGGAAGGCGAGGAAGAGCCAGGGCCAGGAGCGCGGCCCGCACGGCGCATCGGAGCTCCCCGGAGCTGCAGGCTCGGAGTCCTTAGGGACTGCCGGGTCCCCCGCCCGCCTCGGTCCCCTCCCCTGCCTGGCCAGCCCCGCCCCGGCGGCCTGAGTCCCGGCACTCCGCAGCCCCGCGCCGGCCAAGTTGGGATGGGGCCCTGCAACCACTGCCCGGCGCCCGAGAGGCCACCTGCGTGCTAGAGGCAAACTTTTGTCTCCTCGGTAAAGTTGCTTTGGCCTTTTTTTTTTTTTTTTTTTTTTTTTTTTTTTTTTTTCTTTTTTTTCTTTTTTGCTTGCTTTTGGTAGCGAAGCGTTTCCTAGCCCAGCCAGCCTTGGCTGGGATGATGTGCGGTCTTCGAAGGGTCTTTTGAACCGGTTACCGGACTCGGGATCGTGACACCGATTTAGGGGGACTAGAGGGGGCGACCCCAGTTGTTGCTCTGGCCCAGCAGCGGTGAGGGCTTAAGGGGGATTTGGGGATTCAGAACTCGTGGCCAGAGGTCGATTTTGTACCTCTGTCCCCTACCTGGGGGATAGTGTCTCTTGTTCTCGGGGTGGGCGGTAGGCCACCCTTGGTCTGGAGGCACCGAACGGAGCCTGGGACTTTTATTTATTTATTTTTTTTTTTGCGGCGCGTGGGGGCGGGGATGCTCCGAAGCTCCCTTAGATGGGGAGCGCGTCTGCTGGAGTGTGCGGTGTGCGACTTTCGCAGCCTTCGCAGCCAGCCACTTGGGAACTTCCTACCCCACTTATCCGCGCAGGGCGTCCGGGTCCCGGAACCCAGCCTTTTCTTTCTTCCCCTCTCCTTCCTCCCCCTCCCTGAGCCCTGTCGCCCCTTCCTCCGGCGGGCTCTGCACTCCGGGCCTTTACCATCCTCTCCTACTCTAGGTCTCCGAGATCCAGTAGATTTTCCGATTGGATCCACGCGTAATCCTTTGCCTAGGGATCGATTTCCCTCCTCACTTTCATCCCAGCCCCCCACTTATCCCCCCCACCAAAAGCAATCTCTCAACAAGTATATTTGCTGAGGAATTTGAAAAATCCACTACTGCAACTTGATCTGTGTGTGATGGATGAGGAGCGGCGCGGACAGAGTTGGGCGCCAATCCTATTAAGGGTTTAGAGAGGGGAGCGTTTTCTCCCCGGTTGGGGGTGGGGTGGGGAGAGGGATCGTGTGCTTGAGTGAGTGCAAAAGTGTTCCCGCCGCTCCGGGGAGCTGGAAGTCCACCCAACTCTGTTTCATTTCAGCCGGGGTGTAATTACTTTCATTTCCTAGGAAACCCGACTTTTAGAGCGCGGGGAAGCTGAGGTTGGAGCCGGCGTGCCTCACCCCGGGTGACCGGGCCATAGAAGCGCACACCGAGGTCGTGGGGATCCCCCAGGGTGCCACTCCACCCCGGCTCTATCTTTTGTGTAACTGTCTTGTGGTTCCAGAGCTGATCCCAAATGGAAAAACAAAACAAAAAAACCCACACCTCTTTTCGGAGTCAGGTTCCACTAGGGCCAGGGTGTGTGTGTGGGGGTTCTGCGCCCCTCTGATTCCAGGGGCATCCCTCTTGCTGAGGGCGGGCTTTGCAGTCCGGTGGCCGCGCCGCTGTCCAGGGCCCCCTGCTCCTCCGCCCTTGCCGGGCGTGTGAAGGTTTAATCCCCACAGCTTCAGATAAAGGGAACGGTTGTAAAACGCTCATATGCTGTTTGCAGACGAGGCTCTGGGGGATGTTGGAGAATTTGAAAGTAAACGTTTCCCTCGCAAGCAGCATAAAATAGTGTTTAAACAAATATTGTATTGGCATGCTCCGGGGGCTCGGTGCCAAAAAAGTAAAGTAAATAAACTGTGAAATCTAAAATATACACGGGGGGGGGGCGGGGAATAGCGGGGCGGAACAGGCAGGCTTGTCACATGTCTCCCTGATGCTATCTGTTTGTTCTAGCCACCTCCCCAGCGAGCCCCCTCCCCGCCCATTTCCTCACCTTGGCTGAGGTTTCCCTGGCTTGAGAAGGCTTCCGTGTGTCTGGGGACCCGCAGCTCTGGGCCTGGGAGCGCCCGGCAATTGCTCAGTCAATCTGGGGGCAAAATGCATTGTTAGCTGCCTGTGGTGGTCTCCCCACGAGGGGAAGACACCCTGGCCATGCCAGCTTGCTTTTTTTGAGGTCTTAGTTTCTAGCGTCTGTTCCGTCCTGGGGCTGTAATTTCAGAATGCCTTAATCCAGGCCCTGCAGACCTTGTGCCCTACCCCCAAAGGCTTCCCTTCTTGTGCCCCTTTCTTCATCTTTCTTGCTTTTGTTTTCTCGAACTTACTGCTTTCTTGAGGGTTCAGGGAGTTTGGGAATGGTCTCTTCAGACACAGATTCTACTCAAATCAGCAATGTGGAAGGAAAGCTGTCTCTCATCTGATTTGTTTTACAGTTAATTGTATTTTGGAAGATTTAGGATGGTTTTGTATTTCCCCCTCTGCTTTGAGAACTATGCCAATTTCATGAGGTGGCTTCCTGATTCTAGGGGTTTAGAGTCCTGAGTTTAGACGTCCTGAGTTCCCAGGAATCCACCTGCCCAGGAGGTAGCCCTTCCTGTGACCCAGTCTTGCCTTGCTCCTATGCTTTAGAGTGGTCAGTTCACAAAGGCAGTTTAGTGAGGTTGACAGGGAGCAAACCCTTCACAGCCCAGGGCAGGCCTCATCTGGGAACAAGGTGGGATTGTTAAACCTATTTCTATGCTTCCATGGCAATCAATGTAGTGGGAATTTGCACAGAGTTCAGCCTTACTAAGATCTCTTCCCAAATTCGCACCAGGCCCAGGAAGGGGACCACCTTGAAGCATGTGTAGAGTTAGTTGAAACCTTCTACTTTCTCAAGTTGTTCCTCTGGCCTTCTGCCCCTGGGAGTATTGAGCATTGAGAGAGGTCCTCTTGGATTGCTTGATTTGAAGAGGGGGGGCACAGGGCTGCTAGTCATTGCCTAGCTGCTGTGGGGGTCTTGGGTCTGTGTCCTGTGGCTGACTTGTTTGCATTGTAGACTGAGAGATACACAAATACTTCACTCTTTTTTGTGCTCCCACAAGTGCCCTGTACACAGTACAGCCCTGGGGCTGGATTAGTGAACCAGGGACAGTCAACCTATCAGGCGGACAAAATCGAGTATTTGCCTACACTAAGTACCTTTCTTCCATTAGCTCCTCTAGGAGTTGCAGTGCTCAGACACCAGCAATTCCCTTTAAATGAGACCATGAAGTTGTCATGTGCACTGTGAAAGCTGGTATGACCCCCCACCCCCCACCTCACACCCAGCTGGCTTGTTAAAGCTCAGAAACAGTCCTATAACTTTGCCTTGGCAGCTGGCCTTTGCTGGTGCTAGCAGCATGGTGGGGAGGTGGGGCCAGTCAGTGCATCTTTAGGTTGGGGGTGGGGTGGGAGCTGGTGTCTAACCTGTGCGAAGACTTTCCTGGTGCATCAGAGGCCACCAGGCCAGGTGGACCTCCCTGTGGCCAGCTGCAGCTGACCTTGCTGGCCCCGTGGTCTTTGAAAGGGAACCCCAGGGAAGCAGTTTCCTCCTTTCTTTGTATTTTTAGTGAGCATGGGAGGTATGGATGAAAGAAACATGTGAAGACTGCCAAAGAGAAAAACTGTATTCTCAGATTGTAGAACATTTGGAGGCAGCATTGGTGATTGGATCACCAGCCAGACTATCCAGAGATTTCAGTGTGTGGTGCACGCTCACTTTAAAACTTGGGGAAAGAAGGAAGTGCTCTGTAATTGCTTCGTAAGGCTTGTTAAAAATGGGAATGGGGCAAGATCAGCAGCAACACTGACGTCTGATAGTGCCCTTGCGAAGAGGGCCACCTAACACAGTTTCATGGGTTTCACATAAACATACATCATATTCAGTACTAATTTTTTTTTTTCTCAAATCTGAGGGCTTGAGAAAATACCAAGGACCTGGAAAACAAAAACTTCGTCCATTGTTTTTCAATTCCAGGGGTGACAAAGGTGTTGTTAAGTCACCCTGAGAAAACGGGAGATGACAGTACAGTAGCTGGGTGTGTTTGGTGGCTTATTGTCCCCTGATTCTTCCAACAACAGGAAAATACATTAATGTTCCTGCTTAGCTTTTATCTCAGGCTTCTTAAATCACATACATGTTGGGGAAAATAATTTCATTAAGATGCAACCAGATAGTACATATTAAACTGTTTTTTGAGACTTAGGTTTAAATTTAGTGTGTGTTGTGTGTGTAAGAACACGGTTTTTTTTTTTTTTTTTTAAAGGCAGGTTCCTGGGAAGTGTTTTAACTTAAGAGTGCAGAATTTCACCATTAGCATAAGAAAACCACTTTTAGTGCTTGTGCTATTGTCTTGACTGAGGAGTTGCTACAAATGCCAGGCGGGCCCTGATGGCCCATTGAGATTCTTCCAGCAGCCCCTGCACCGTCATCTGCCTGTGAATCTGGGATCAGATAGCACTTTTATCTAGCTTTTTTCCCATTCTCTGCCCCTTTTTCAAACCTGGTCACTTTTGTCCACGTTTATTGATTGTTTTCTTCTCTGCAAATCTGTGGAAAATTTAATGAACCAAAAAACAGCAAGTGAAATAAAGGGAACTTTTCTATTCATTAGGACAGAATTGGGATTGAATTTACCCCTTTGGTTGCAGAGGGCCCCAGGCCTCTAGCTGGAAGGTTGTTGTTACTGACGCGTACTCTCACCCCAGGGGACTGTGGATACCTGCTCCCTGGAGAGTCTGGCCAGCCTTGCTGCAGCCCCAGCCTTTCTCCTCAGCGTTTAGGCTCCGAAGGGTTGACACGAGTGAGGGCCAAGGCAGCTTTACAGCTCTTTCCAGCACTGGGCCTTCATGGGACACAGTTTAAGTATCTCCCTACCTCCAGACCTAGCTTTCACCCTGTAATTAGGCAAAGCCCCGGGTGTGATTAAGGCTGCTGACTCGGCAGGGCTTGGAGCCGGTTCTCTCTACAAGAGTGAACTCTTGCTCTTTCCAGAAGCTTCCAGACTAGCCCTGGTTACTCTCCTCTTCTACTTCTGGGCTGCTGTGTGTCTTCTTTACTTTCTTCCTTCCTCCCCGACTCCCTCCCTCCCCTCCCTCTCTCCCCTCCCTCCTTCCCTCCCTTTTCTCCTTCCTCCCTTCCCTTACCCTCTCCTTTCCTCTCCACTTCCTTTCTCCTTTCCCTCTTCTTTCCTACTTTTTCTCCTCCCCTCTCATACTCATCCCTGC